AAAAATTGGTCAATTTGGAGCAAGTTGAAAAATTCAAAATGGCCGCCAAATTCAAAAATTCAAAATGGCCACCATGTAATTCAGCCAGCATACCCAAAACCTAATCAGATCTTGGCAATAGTCTGCTCTTGCATCTGTAAAAATTTCAAGTTGAACGGATAAGTGGTTTTCCTGGAATTTTGATGACAAGATTTGTTGAAAAATTCAAAATGGCCGCCACATAGTTTACCCAGCATGCCCTTAACCTAATCAGATCTTGGTACTAGTCTGCTCTTGCATCTGTAAAAATTTCAAGTTGAACAGGTAAGCAGTTATCCTGGAAATTTGATGACAAGATTTGGTTTATGTCCCGCCCGCACGCCCAAACGCCCGCACGCCCAAACGCCCGCCCAACAGCACAAGACGACGACAATATAGCACTTTTTCAAAGTGCGATAATAATAATAAGATAATGCATTTAAATTTTTTAATATAAGGAATAGAATACAAGTTATTCAAAAGAAGCACATTTTCAATATACATGTAAAAACAAAATATTTTCTGACACAACCACGGGTCAAATCTGGGGTCAGAATCAGGGGTAAACGAAATGTCCCTTAATTCCTGAGGAACAAAAAAAGTTCAGAAATCAAATGGAAGAACTATAGAAAATGAAGGACCCACGGTCCTGTGCTCACACAGTTTGGAACCTTCAGAGGAATGTATATACTGACTTTCAAACAAAAATATTGATTTGGATTTGTAGTCTTGAACTTTGAGAAACTTAGATAGCACAGTTGTGTGACCTATTTTGATGACCTTTGACCTTGAAAATTTTACTAATTCAGAGCTCAGTAAGGTCCTTTGTGAATAGCTGACCAAAATTTACATCCAAAAATCAATTTGAAAAATCAACTATTTTGACCTTTCGAAGGTCACTGAAGGTCAAGTAAAGGTCAAATCCTAAAACTAATGTCAGATTTGAACTCCTGGCAACTTGTAGATGATTTTCAAAAAAAATTTGGTCAAATTGAAGCAAGTTGAAAATTAACTTATTTTTACTGTTTTTTGACGTCAAATATCTCAAAAACGGTAAAAATTTGATGCTGACATATATGGAGCAATATGTAGGGAATGCTTAAATTTAGTAATGATGTAATTCATTGCAAGAAATGATCAAGTATAAGGCAAACTTTGAGAAACTTGTCAATCACAAAACCTGCCATTGACTTTATACATGAGAAAGTTTCCTGAAAATGACGAAGTCCTACTTTTTGTCAAATTTTATAGAGTAAAAACCAAAAACTGTAATTCCAAGAGCTTTGAAATCTTCAGACGACATAAGTTGCATATACAGCAACTAGTAAAAGTTATTTGAAAGTTCTACTTCAACAAAGTGTCTAGTATTTACAGAAAATTTGACTTTTTGACGTCAAAATCCGCAATTTCTCGGAAACCGGGCGAACTTGGGAAATGGCGATGATAAGTCAAATAGGCCTGGTCGATCCCATAGGCTCACTGTGTGAGCCAATGAGCAGGTAAAATTACATCAAGATTTTAGAGATGAATTACTGTGTCTATATCATCAAAACTTTTGCTTCATTTGTGTATTCTTTCCTTCAGATAAGAGTCTTACAGTTTATCTTGTAAATCATATTTACCAAAAAATGAGCATCTCCAAGGCTTCATACCAGCGTATTCATGATGCATTTGTCACGAGTTTGAGCTCACATTTCACTAAATTGAAGTTAGGGGGATTTGTGATTCAATGCTCTAACTTATACAAAAATGGTGGAACAAATGCAGAATTAACAGCAAAATCACTTTGAATTTCTAAAGATTTATTTGCCTATGTTGTATTGTATTTTGTTTACCACCAGTGAAGGTAGCTATTACCTCTTAGGCATATCCCGTAATACGGTTGTAATTAAACCTGCACATCGCTCCAAAACGCAATCTTGAGTTGTTTCGGGGGTGAACTTTATCATTTTGAGCTTAATGAAAGATTATAGAATGATGAACAAATGGGGCAAATCTTGTGTACAAAAACTCCAATAAATGTGTCATTACAAAGATTGTTCATTGAATTGCTTCGATTGTCGACGACGATATGATTTTTGGAAGGTTTCTAAATTAAGAATTTGACGTCACTTCCGAATTATAGCATTCAACATAAGTAGCGTTTAATTACTTTCATCATTCATAATAAGTTGGTTGCCCTGCGGTAGAATGCACTCACTTTTTTATTTTTTTTAACTAAATGATTGATATATTGTTGTTGCAATGTGCCATAATCGTACATCGGCAATTTTCATTAGTAAACGTTCTAGAAAAGTCTGACCAAATTTACCACCATTATACAATGAATGAAATTCTGAATGCAATAAATAAATAATAGTATGATACTTCCGGTTGGTCACATGCGTAAATAAATGTAAAAATGAAGGTTATTACTTCATTTAAATCAGCTAGAACATTTTTAGTGAAAGCAATCATCAGAGAATATTGGAAGATAATCCAAGGATTAAAAAGGGTATTATGGAATTTGCATGAAAATGAGAAAGGAAAAGGTGAAGTGATTTTTGCAGATTTATTTTTTGTAAAAACATTGATGTGTTGTTTCAGGCATCGACCCATCGCCAAAATTTTGCTATTATAGACAAAAATTTCAAAGTGATTTTACCTGTTAATTCTGTCATCGGTCCGCCATTTTTGTGAAAGTTACATTGAAACATAAACTCCTTGGAATGAAACAAAATCACTAGAAAAAAACATGGCACACATAGTGTGCATGTGCACTTGAGTTAAAACCAATCAGATTATTTGAATATTTTGCGCACATGAATTATTTGCTTCTGAGCACTTACAATACCATTAAAAGCTGACCACAAACCTGGCGGAGATTCCCCTTACTTAATTTTAGCGAAATGTGAGCTTAACGTGTGACAAATGCATAGAATCTTATCCCGTTCATTTGCCTGTACGATTACAACTTGGGAGAATTATCTACGCCCCTTACACTTAAGATACCTACCTCAATGCATTATAGAACTCAAGATGTAACTTCTAATATATTGGAACCGCCGATTGTCTGGGTATATCGGCAGAACGGGAACATTTTCTCTTTTTCATCGAGAGAGATTCCATCACTTTTCAAAATGGCGGTTGGATTTAAAAGGGGAATCCCCCGTTTGGCTGTCCCGGATGTAGCCCGGAAGTACCAATATGGAGGAATTTGACGGTTGAAATAAGTTAAATGTTACACGCAAATATTGCGATCAAAAACGAAAATGTCTTCGTTCTGCCGATAAACCCAGACAATTGTGGATTCAACTACACGAAAAGAATGCTAAATTACCAAGGAATCTATTGAAGTAGGTATCTGAATAGTTCAACAAGTTAAACCCAATACCACGGCTTTCATCTATAATCTGAGTGTTCTTGTTGCCGTGGTTGGGTTTAACTTCCGTGCTATGCTTTCATTGATTGCAAATTCTCACAATCAGTTATTAATAAAACGCGCATGGAATTCCATGCGCTGCCATAGGCCATCATTAAAATTTTTTGCATCAAGGGCCGAATAGGCACGGATGTTAAACCTAGGGCGGGCCACAAGAAATGTCAGATAAGAAATAAGGCCCAGACTAGGTTTAACTTGTTGAACTAGTATCTGAAGTGTAAAATGAGTAAAAAATTCTCCCATGTTGTAATCGCACAGGCAAAAGATTGAGATGTTCACAGGACCATAGTCCGGGAACGGGATAAATAGAATCGACCTCTGTTTAAAAAAACACCTCTTATTTATTGGCTCAGCACTATAACACATCAAAAACTAACTATTAAACACCCGCTTATACCACAGGTCATGTTCTGAAGACCAGGACCATGCACGACTAAACATGAAAAGGAGTGAGAACGTTGAGCTTGAGGAATTTTTAGCAGGCTAGGGCCCTAGTATGTATCCAACAGACCGAATGTAATATTCGGTCTGTTATGATTGATATATTTCCTGTGGAAATCTCGGTGATATTTTTTGCACATAAATTTCTCGTTTATTACAAGAATGTTCACCTTGAAAATTGGTGAATATGTTGAAGAGATGTTCATCTTAAACTAGAAGCAAAAATATTTGTATAAGGCGGGTACAAGTTGATATAAAATAATGAAATGTTCAGACTCACCAAAACTTCAGGATGTGTTTATAAGTACATCGCGAAATCAATGTCAAGGACGTTTGAGTTCACGAGATCCAAACGAGATATGCAAATTTTGAACTTTGACAACACATGACCACTTGATTACCTCGGCCTTCTTCATGAATATTTCCGCTCTATTTACTATAAATGAAGAAAATTAACCGGGATAATGATAATAAATGACTAGATCTAATAAATTCCCGCACAAATGGAATTTATCAACACGCTTCCGTCCGCTCCACGTGTTATTTGTTTACAAATAGACTGACGTCACTGGCTAAATCTCGTTTATCGTGAGATTTGGCATTGCCAAAATGGCTTGACCTAATCAATGGCTTCGCTACAAGAAGCGTCTGTACATTTTATGAATATCTTCAGTAAGAGGACAATATACGAAAAAATAATATTGTAAGTACTTTATAAGGTAATCATTTTATCATTTAACAAACTTATTTGTAACATTTATACAACACCACATTTTGCAATAGGTGACTTACAGTCTGAATATTTATTCAGACGAAGGATACAGTCTAGCTAGGGCCCTAGAAAAAATTCTGAACTGAAAAAATATTTATTTTCCCACATCCGAACAACCAGTCTGGTCCATTTTACGGCACAATTGACTTTGAATATGAAACAATATACTTACGTGCTTTCATCTGGAACTTGAGCAAGTGTTTTAGCGTCAAATATAAGAAATAAAAGGCAAATTCCTGCCAAAAACATAGACAAACTTTTCTCCATCTTCATGCCCTCGTTTTCAGATTATTAGCCTCAAACTAAAACGTTTTCTAAATATAGCAGACAGCATTGGGGACCGGTCATTCTCAAATAAATCCAGATAGGGATTATTGCTTTTTACAAAACCTTGCCAGATTCTAATATAAAGTCAAAGCTCTGTCTTACTTTTAAGATTCAAAATTTTATTATTGGAAATTCAGGGATACATGAATCTTTATATTACATGTATAAAGCCTTTATGTATTTTGGGCGTGAAGAGTTCCCGTGCGTTCGCTATTTTAGAACGACCGTTCGCATTTTTGTTGGATTACAAAATGGCAGAAGCTGACGCGGAAGTATTGAGGAGAAGAGTGCAACAAAAGGTTGCTACAGAGCTACACGATGAGATATATAAGGGTAAATTCTATTTTTATCGATCCATGAATATTTTCATCACATGTTCATACAAATAACAGTTGCTCATATTCGCAAGTTTTTAAGGAATCAGTCCACTGAGACTTTCAATATTTCAAGTTTTATTTTTCTGATTTTTTCCATGGGCTTCAAGAAAATCGTACCCAAGAAACACAGGGGCTTGGCTGGAGGGTCGGGCAAGCCCTCCGATGTGTCTGTACTGATTAAATATTCAAAGGAAGTTGCTTAAAAATCTAAAGAATATGTAGAAAATTGATTCTATGCCAAATCGCTAAATTTATTTGGACAAAATTATTACCTGCTCTAAGCTTAGACTACAAATTACTCACTTCGAGAGCCATGTTAGATTTTGAAAAATATGGCTCTCCAACGGAGAAATGGACAGCTGAATATTAGTGACCTTTGAAACAAGTTCGTGTATATCGCTTCTGGCAAACCGCCATATTGTAAATGGGTCGAAAAAACATTCACTCGATGAACAATTTACAAGTTTGATCGAAAAAGAAGTATTTCAGCGCTCCAATACTTGCACGGATTGATGATACTGATGTAAGACACAGTTAGAGACCAAAAGTAAGCCGTGGGAAAGCTATTATATCAAAATCCACATAGCTTTCGCAGGAAGTAAACTCTAAAGTCATGTTTGGTACTCAATTGGTTACATGTACAGGGTGGTCCAAAAAATGGGACACTGGTATTTCAAAAATAAATATTGATTTTCTTGATGAAAACATGTCATATTATATACCAGTGGATAGGGAATTTACTTATCTTTAATTTGGTATATCATAAGTTCAAATTTATTATAATATCTGTCAACCAGTTTCCGTTATATAAATGATGTCATTTTAGTTTCAAAACGGGTTTTCCAAAACTTGCAAAAAACAAGATTTTTGTCAACTTAATCTACACAAACAGATGTTCAATATGTCCACCATTTTGATCAATTATATCCCTCAATTTTGGCCTTAACTGGTCAAAAATATCATTGATATTCTGTTGAGACAATGAATTCCACTTCTCAGCAAGTCTATCCTTAATAAGGGACTGAGTAGATGTAAGGGGTTCATGATAAACCAATTCTGTTAGTTCTCCCAATACGTGGTAGTCGTGGACATTGACCTCGCAATATCCAATTATGTTGTTTTTAGACCATTCTGATATGAGCTCATTCTCGAATCATTACATTCTCCAACAAGATGGGGCTCCAAGCAATAGAATTCTCAAGAGTGTCAAATGTTTAAAGGAAAATGTGCCTAGATTCATCCCCCTAATCACCTCCCCCAGATCACACGATCGCCCAACATCTGCCACAACCATGTATGTGGCGAACTAACAGAATTGGTGTACCATGAATCTTACATCTACATGTATTCAGTCACTTGAGGGCAGAATTGAATTAATGAGAAGTCAAATTCATTGTCTTAACAGCATATCAATGATGCTATTGGCCAGTTTAGGCCAAAATTGAGGGGTACAATTAATCAAAATGGTTGACATATTGAACGTCTGTTTATGTAAATAAACTTGACAATAAAACTTGTTTTTGTAAGTTTTGGAAAACCTGTTTTGAAATGAAAATGACATCATTTATATTATAGACGCTGGTTGACAGACTTTCTAATAAATTTGAATTTATGATATGCCAAATTAAAGATAAGTAAATTCCCTATCCACTGGTATATAATATGACATGTTTTCATCAAGAAAATCAATATTTTTTTTTGAAATACTAGTGTCCCATTTTTTGGATCACCCTGTATATTCACCCATTTGTAAGGATTCCTAATAAAAGGGAAATTTTGCCTACAGTCTGCCTGGGTGCAAAGGAGCTCTTCTAAAGAAGATATTAAGTCCCTCGAGGGACCTGCCTTGGACCATCCATATTTGCGATGTTTATAAATGACCTCCCAAACGCCACAAAGAGCAAACTTCTTATGTAAGCAGATGATGCCAAACTGTATGGGAGAGTTTAAGACCAAGAAGATAAGAAACAGTTACAAACAGATTTGGACAGTTTAACAAAATTGTCAAAAGAATGGCAACTCCCTTTCTATACAGACAAATGTAAGGAGATACATTTACTTACGAACAATGAGAACGAAAACAACACCATGAAAAACAAAACTTTGGAGCAAACAACATTGGTTTTCACCAACATGTTGACATACAAGTATCCAAAGCCAATAGTATTATTGGGACAAAAAAGAGTCCTTTCTCTCATCTTGATAAAACTAACCTTACTACTCCTTAATATAAATCCGTGGTCCGGCCTCACCTTGAATATGGAAACAGTGTTTGGAACCCTCACACCAGTATGGATATTGACAAAATCAGAAGAGTACAAAGAGCAACAAAACTAGTACCATCATTGAAAGACTTAAGCTATGAAGACAGGATGAGACAACTAAAACTTCCCTCTTTACTGTATAGAAGTACAAGGGATGACCTAATCCAAATCTTCAAGATTGTCAAAGGTTACAACTGGATGCAAATCAGTGACATCGCACAGAAATAAGATAATACCAGGACTAGAGGAAACACAGAAAAATTAAATTGCACATATAGCAGACTTGATGTGAGAAAAAATGTCCTTGGTAACAGAGTTGTTAACACCTGGAACAGTCTACCCCATGTCATAGATGTTGAAAGTATCAAGTGACTCAAGTCCAGTGAGCATTAAAACACCCCCCCTAATTATTAAGACACAACAACACAAAAATATCTGGATCATATAGGAAACATCCTTCTTCCAGAACTATTTGTATAAAGGTATAAAGATGATTGCTTCATTTCAAAATGGCTGCCATTTTTTGTATAGATATAAGTTTTGATAACATACCATTTATTGACTAAATTAAGGAATTTGGTCATTTAGAATTTATGGAAAATCATTGCCTTATGTCCTATGGGCAAAGGACTCAAGAAGACATTTAAAATATGGTCGCTCTTTTCAATAGCCAGTGCCACTATTTTTCGTAGAAAATAACTCAAATACCAGTAGGTAGATTTGATTCAAATTAGAGTCAAATGACAAGATTTTTATCAAAATATGTTTGTTTGGTGGGATTTACTACTCCACTGAGTCGCTGTTTTCTAGTCATTTCAGAATCAGAAAAAATCAGCAGAGATATCTTTGTATTTTTAAATATTTCCAGGCACATCGAAAGATCCAAGAACCAAGTTGTTGAAGCGTAAGCATGGGAGCGCTTACAGTATTTCCAACATACTATGGATGGTCCTGGCCCTCATAACATTCTACATGACAGATTTCTACCTCACAGTGCTATATGACCCAAGCATAAGAAGGTAAACAATGCACAATTGATGTGTTATATAAAATGAAGTTATATTATGTACAGGGTGGTCATAAAAAATGGAAACCGTAATACCATTTTACTCATATCTTTGTCATTTTAAAAAATGACTCTCTGATATTTTACATTTTTATACATCATTCAATTTGCTACCAGCCTACTTTATTTCATGACCATCAGATTGATAGTCACAATGTTACAGTACTTTAAAGAACATGCCCAGTGGCCACTATTGCGTTGTGGGGAAACCTGTACTCATCGTCTAAAATGTCCCTACCTGTGGGGATATGGCAGAGATCGAGTATATGAGAATGATCTCAGGACAATTGCAAACCTCAAAAGTGAGATCATTTGTGTCATTCAGGCCATACCTGCTGAGGAATGCATTCGGTCATTGACAACTGTGCTGTTTTGCCTACAGCGCGATAATGGCCAAATCTAAAGCATGTTATTCAAAGTGCTGTAAGATTGTGACTATCAGTCTGATGGTCATGAAATATGGTAGGGTGGTAGGAAATTGAATGATGTACAAATGTGTGAAATATCAGGGAGTTATTCCTTAAAGAGACCAAGATATAAGGAAAATGCAGGGTTTCCATTTTTTGACCACCCTGTACTTAACAAGCTGCTAGTAAAAAGTAAACAAGCTAAATACTGTACTCCCGGTATTTTTCGTGTGTGATTTAGTTTCCCGCTTTTAACGATTGTGGTAAAAGCGGGAACATTAATCTTCGCGAAGTTGTCAATTAAATCCCCAAGGATTTGTGAAATATTTTATTACCTCGGACTTCATTGCATTTCGTGTTTTGTAAAATGTATGTCTAGTGTTTCAGGTGATAGATGGGATACTAAGTAACAATGTCTGTTATAGTGGCTTATTAGATTAAATATTAAATAAGCCAAAAAATTATGATGGAATAGAGGTTAAGTGTGGTTGACCAAGATGACATAGTATAGGTACTTAGTGAAATTCGTGAAAATAGCCGTGAAATCCTGTTTTCTCAAAATTCGCGAAATTAAAACTTGCAAAATTAACCGGGAGTACAGTATATGTTTCATTTTAATATTAGTACCGAGTAGTAGTGGATGCATATTTGCATGACTTCGCATTTACCACTCCTCCCATTTTTCACAAGTGAATTCTTCAAGGGAAACTATGATTTTGAGAAAGCTTAATTGAGGCCAATATGTATAGCATAGGGATATGTAATGCGCATAAATTCATTGATATATTCAACAAATAAGCAAGAAAAAACAACATGACAATTTCAATTTGTATTTTGTGATTTATGGGTAATTTGGACTGCAGATAGTATAAAATTACAGAGGTAAGGCTGATTATTCATATACTTGCAGAAAATGTGTCAATTCTGTGCAAAATTCCACAGGATCAAATCATCAAAATTTTGCAATTCTGTGCCTGAAGTCAAAATCCGTCTGTGCTCATCTGCTCATACATAATCCGGCCCTGGTTAACAGTCTTTGGAGAATTAAAGGGAAAGATGTTTAATATTTTTATCCTTGTCTTTCTTCAGGACCTGGTTGAACTTTGGTGTGATCCTGATAGGCGTCAACCTGGCTATAGGTGCATTCCTGATAGTGTGGCTCTCATGGGTGAAGAAGATCCCATCAGATGACTGGGAAACATTGTACCCTGCGGCTATCCCTATAGCTACAGGCAGCTTTGCTCTGGGTGCAGTTAGGTAAGACTTACTGGCAATTATGGTAATGCTCAGCTAGGTGACTGATTTCTATGTCCTTTTTATTTCAAGTGAATATTATATAAACATTGAAACATTTATAGGGTTGAATTCAAAGTTTCTACACTTAATCCAATTTGATAACTGCAACATTACGAGTATATATCCTTACTACTGAATGGCAATATGATGAAAACTTTTAACTTTGGCAATCCGAAATATGATTTGCACATGTTTATCAGTAGAATCTAGATGGCCAAAGATTTCAAAGAAGTACCATGCAAATAATTGTGTATTATTTTTTTTCAGTTTAACAATTGGACTTTGGCCAGTGTGGAACATATTTACGCCAGTGATATTATTTGTTCAAAGCATGGGAGTCGTCGTCTTTATAGCAATGTTACCAAACTTTTAATGGAATTTTCCATAATATGTGTAGTGTTGTTTCCCTCCCTCATTGATCCATCTACTTTATGGAATGTTCAAACCAGAGAGTCTGGAACTCGAGATATGGATTACTTCAAAACAATGGGAGTTATTTATTGAACAAACAAAATTGAGGTAGTGTTCATGTATTGTTTGTGCCACTTTTTCCATAATTGTTTGTGATATCACAAACACCATAAATCCTCTGAAACATGAGCTAAAGATATTTATCCCAACGAACGAAGTTCGGTAGGGATATAATGAAGCCCTCCGTCTGTCCGTCTGTCCGTCCGTCCGTCCAGAAGATAACTCAAATACTATATCTAGTAGACGGATTTTCTTCATATTTAGTGGAAAGATGTATATTGGTGAATAATTTTAATTTTTTTTCAAGATGGCCGCCGCTTTAAAAATGACAGGACTTTTTCGCAAAAATCATAAATTTTTCATTCTTAACCAAAGTAATTAATATTATTGTTTGAAATTTTGGTAGTATATTCACAACATTTATCTCTTTCACATATATTCCGTGTTTTTCATCCTGACCCCCAGGGGCCGTGTATGGGGGGTAAGGAAAAGAGAAATTTTTGCTAATTTTTAGATCTTTCTGAAGTATAGCTTTATTATACTCAAATGAAAGGCAATTAAGAGTAAATTGCAAATATTGTATCTTTTTTCTGGTTCGAGCCTCGTAAAATTCAAAATGGCCGTCTAATGTACGATTTCTCAATAATTTTTCGATCGCTTCGAAGTATGGCTATATTATACTCAAATTGAAGGAATTTTGGAGTAGATCACAATTATGGTATTATTTTTCAGATTTGTACCTCAGAAAATTCAAAATGGTGCTTTGCAGGAATTCGCAATTCTAAAATCTAATTTTTTCAATTTTAACCAAAGTAATGAGTATAATTGATTGGAATTCGGTAGTTGATATTATTGATATTTTGTTCGTTGGGATTTGCTACTCCGCGGAGTTGCCGTTATCTAGTTAAAAAATGTTTGGAAAAATATTGATCTGACTTTAAACTAAAGGAAGTAGAAGGGAGGGAGAGTATAAAATGATGTTAAAATCAACCTTTTCAAAAAGCATGTGATATCAATGTTTTCCTTATAATCCTGGATGAACTAATTGAGATATCTGAACAAATATAAAAGTTGTTGAAGAATTAAGGTATCCATTATCCATGCATTTGTAATAAAAAAGGGGTCTACTTCTTAGATTTCTTGGCCAAATAACCTAAAAAATCAAAGAATCATCGTGAAAAAGTCGGAACTGTTGTACATTTTAGAAAAAAGGCCTGATAGAGCAAATAATATCATGAAATTTTGACAACTCATCTTCTCAACTTGTCTCATTCAAAGTGGAACATCTCTGTAAATGGAACACATTCATCAGTGTAATCCTTTTCAAACTCCTATTATCGATTACCTTAGTGTAGAACAAGCGGAATACCAGTTCAAATTAAAACACTATTTTGAGGCATTCCACTTGCGCAGGTTTTACTGTATGGAGCTTCTAGTTATGGTTAAACTTCAGAAAATAGGAAAAAGTTGTTAAAGCACTATATATGGCATGAGTTGGCAGTTACATACTTCAAGTCATTTTTACTTTTATACTTATAGTATACTGTCATGAAATTCTTTATCTCTTTTGTACATGTTACTGGATATACAGTACTCCAATTTTGTATCATATGTAATTCAATATAATGGCAACTATTTTATTGCTCAAATGTAAATATTGTTATATACTCTAATATACATGTATGTTGTAGTTATAGTGGTGATCTAGTCACATGGAATAAATATTTAGGATTGAAGTGAAATACAACATTTATGTAATTTTATGAGTTAGCTCACATTGATAGGCTTATATTAGTTATCACCCACCTGTCTGTCTGTCCATCTGTCTGTCCATTTATCTGATTTATGACCAGGCAAGCAGTGCCAAAAAGATATCACCATGAAATTGCACAGATCATAGTTTCTGCCAAAAATGAAATATTTTGCATCCAACAATAGAAGTAAAGGCCTTTGAGGATAGTGCATCAAGATTAATTATTTGGTATTCTGGGTTAATCCCAAGAAAATCCTTTTGTAAGCTGTTCTTATAATTTTGATTTATATCATTTTTATATCAATCAAGAGTACCAATATGATATCACATGATTGCTTTGATTCAAAATTGTCTTCGGTTATGACTTAATTTGCCTGATAAAAGAACGGTTATCCTTTATTTGGCTGATTATTGCAAAAGAAGAATGGTTGTTTTGTCACCACCAAAAATGGTGACTGCATATTGTTATAGTCTCCAACTTTTTTTGACAGTATTTGGCATTCTGCGGTTGGTGTTCAGCATTTGGCAGTTGGTGCTGTATCAAATGGCAGGTGGAGACATTTAGGATATTAATGCCTTGTCTGAGAGCATTTGACTGATAGTGCTTTTCTTGATTGTGACTCACGCAACCAAGCACAATCATTCTTTATTGAAGTGTAATTAGCCATTGTGAATCAAAATGAAGACCACATTCATTATAACCTACACTTACGAATCCATTGGGGGACCCATTGGCCCACCAGAAATTTTTTCCATGGCCCTATAAATTTTTGGGCCCAATAAATTTTGTAGGACCTCAATAATGGGCCATTTTGGACTTAAAAGGCCAAATTTTCAAAATTACGGCCAAATTTATTGTTTCATGGGCCCAAAATTTTTTCATGGCAAGTGTGGAAAAATTTTGGTCAAACTTGAAATGTGGGCCCCCCTTGTTAGCTTCTGGATCTGCCAGTGACCTACTCAGGTCACTAGTCAGAAATTAAAAGTGGGGCCAAACTTTGAGTGTGGGAATAATTTCCGCACTTGTGTGGAAAGAATTTTTAAAAGCAATTCAATTTTCTAAAAACAAAGGCCCATTTTTGTTAAATTGGCACAAAAAAGTACATGCTCAAAAAGGCCAATTTTCTGAAGCCCTACAAAATGTTGGGGGTCAAAAATATTTTTTCTGGGTCCTCAAAAGTTGATCTGCCAGTGCTAGTTTCAACTGTGATGTATTAAATTAGAATTGACATATTTGAAAGGGCCACTTATATCTGAAATAACACGAACTCCTCTTCATTTTCTGCAAGGGCTCTGTTTATGTCACGTGACTACCAACGTGACATCTAAAAGTTCAAAATGGCGCTCTGTTGGAAAAGGTAGGTGTCAAAATAATATTTTATTTTTGAAATTGCCGACTTTACCTCGCATTATCAAGGTCAAAAATGTGTCTGTATCAATTATGAATATATAGTGCATAAATGTATTTCTTCTCTGATGTTGATTTCCTCTTGAAAGACACACGATAATAATAGACCTATTTCAACTTCCTCGTTTTTGATTTATTTAATTTCTTTCAAAATGTTCAAATTGACTCGAGTGTTGACTCACTGGAAACACAGATCCGGAGCCAGATCCAGCCCCTATTGGTAGTAGACTCAAAGGATAAATGGGAAGATAAGACACGAGCCAAAAATGGCACATCAAAAAAAATGACCACCCAAAAATATGACCCTCGTACTGACCTTTATTTTTTCCATCTGTCAGACATTGATTGATCAATATTTACCCTGTAATCTCTTCTTTATGTATTAGTTTGTATGGTTGCATGAAATCCATTATTGACGCCGTAATTCAACTTTTCCCGGGACATTTATTTCAAATTTTCAGAGCGTAAAGATAATGGAGCGCTTCGGTAATTTCCGGCAGTGTCCGATGTTGTTCATCTCTCAAATTACGTCACATCGCAACAAACAACCAATGAAAGTAAAGAATTGCGTAGCCAAACAAACCGTTGTTATTGTTTCCACAGGAGTTTAAAGAAACGTCATGGGAATTCTCGGTAATCTCTGATATGACGTCATCCGGAGTGGCGTCACATTCTCAGAAAAGGCATTTTACTTCGGGAATAAGCATTGGGAACAACGGAGATAGCCGAAGTGCTCCATTAAATATACGCTCGCTTATTTTATGCTTTTATCAACAGACGCTTTCTTGGATGTGTGCCTTTAGTGATTGGAGTTGAAGCTAACAACAGTACGCATCGTTTGAGGTATGACATGTGATATTTATTGATAAACTGACTCCAAAATCAGGGAAAAATAAATTTTCCGAAGATCTCGTGTCTTATCCTTGAGTATATTTATTGAGCCTAGACACAGAGGAGCTTATCTGGCAGAGGTCCGTGACTGTAAACAGACCGCCTAGCTTTTATCTGTTGAGAAATTTTGTCTCTGGAATGTAAAGAGGAACCTGAAGCAGGGCCTTATCCACATAATGGGAAGTTCTCCTACAGTACATCTACATTTCTATCACCATTCCTAGATCATGTTGATTTGAGACTTCATACTTTCCAAAAATGTCAAGATACACATCTCCCTTTAGTTTTGCATATTTTATATTTTGTATACTCTGAACTACTAATGTATGGCCCCTTGAAAATTCTCTCGTTTTTAACATGGGGAATCCTCACTTCAGTAAATCTTACTATATTTGCACATAGCCATCTTTAGATAGATGGCTATGCAAAACTAGGTATTCCCAGCCCATGTTAAAGGTCTTTTTCAGAAATGTTACACTTCTTCAATCCATGTATAACATCATAAAATATAGTTGTAGTAATCGTAGAACGCTAACTGGAGTCGGGAGACAGTGTAATTGACGAAAAATGTTGAAAAAATGTTGAAGAGATGATAATTTTCAAGATGGCTTCTCAGGAAGTTGGATAATGCGCATGCATTCCGGTTACACGCATGCGCATTGGCAAGACTTCCTGGTCAGACGACATGGAAAATAACAAGTTCCAAATACATTTTTGGTCAATTACACTGTCTCCCGACTCCAGTTAGCGTTCTTCGATTATTGCAACAATACTTTATGATGTTATACATCGATTGAAGTAGTGTAAGTGTTCCCACGATTTCTAACATTTCTGAAAAAGACCTTTAACATGGGCTGGGAATATCGAGTTTTGCAAAGCTATCTCTCAGGAGATAGCTCTGTGTAAACTAAGTAAAGTAAATCCAGGTGTCATTTATTTAAGGTGAACACTGTATTGAAAGCCTAGCCACGGATAATGGGAAGTTCCCAATATACTGAATACTCCTGGGGGGCTTCTGTTCACTATGCCCGTGATAATCCAAAAGTAACACAAGCATGGGCTTGGAGCCTTGCACGTTTGGTCTGCACAGGCGTACCAGATGGTTGCAAATACACTCCAAATACAGCCTTACTTTAAAATTTTCGAGGGGAGAACCCCCAGACTGCCCCAAACGCTCGTTTTCCACTTCATCACTTCACTGAACTCGTATTCACCATAATGGTTTACTACCCAAAAAATAGTGGTAAACCCATGCATATGTTCACTATGGGGCCCACTGACTCTGGAATAAATACCCTGGTAAATACATCCAAGAAGCAGTTTTCCAGTAGATGGAGCTTCAGGTTCCTGTGTAGACGGGGCTGCTCCACCTCTAGTGACTTTGACTATCAGAGGTTTGTTCTTACACTAGAGTTGGGGTTGGTCCTGTAGTAAATTAATCAAATTTCAAAAAATAAATATATTTCCCTTCGCCTTGTCATTTTTCGTTCAGTGAGTAAATTGCAAAGTTTGACAAGTCAAATCAATACAACAATTCAATCAAAATAATATGATTTACCCCAGCAAAACTAGTACCATTTTGAAGCCAAGCAGCATCACAACGAAATGATGCAAGAAATTTTTAGATTAAGGTTAGGAGCTCTGAGAAAAAGCTAAAATGCCAGATTTGGAGTTTCAACGTTTATAGTTCTCAACTTTTGGAAAAATAACATGGCAACAAATGCACCTCTGGGGCAGTAACAAATCTCAGATATATACATGTAAATGTAAACAAAGGCACAGACGTGCATTTGTCTAGTAAAGAGTTTCTAAACAGTTGTATAAGAATTGTTGAACTTCTCAATGTTTTTAGATTCAAGTGTATCATTTAGTCTACAGCCAAAATGGGAAGGCGGACAATATCTCTTTTGCGAGTGATCGATGTGGATAAACGGAGAATTCCAGATAAACATTATGTAAGTCTAATTTTACACCAAATCCAAAGTTGTAAAACATGAGCTAATTAAGGCACAAAATTAAGTACATTGTGCCTGTCAATAACTGGGGGAGTCTAACTAATATAAACCCATTTAATACAGATCCATACTTGTAAATTACACCATTGACCCATTTAATGCAGATCCATACACCATTGATCCTGGCTCTTACCTTTGCCATAGATGATCATCCATGTGAATATATGTACATTTCATTTACATGATACCCATTTTTGATCTTTCAGGTATATGTCATACAAGTTACCTGGTCTGACGGCATCACAAACATTGTCTACAGGCGTTATAGCAAGTTCTTTGATTTTCAGGTAATATATGTTTTGAGGTATCTGTCAAATATGAAGTTTAATGCATTGGCATTATTTAATGAAAATAAATGTATAGCTAATCAGCAAAACATGTACAGAGATTTAAATTCATGTTAAGTGTAAAATGCATTACATAGATCTGTGATCATAATTGGTTTTAAATAGGTTATATTGTATTATACCACTCTAAGTCCAATTACAGTTGTATAACATGGGTCTATAACAACGATATACAGTGGAGAGTGGTATATCGTCATCGTATACAACTCCTCCGTATACACTCCAGCGTATACCACTGTAGAAGTGCATTCTGGGAAATAATAAATAAAAAAAATCAAGATTTCCTAGAATCAAGTGACGTCATAAATCAACATCAGCATTATTGAGTTGGCTGTCAATGGGATATTTTTATTATGGTTTTTAATTGTTATGATTGTGTTCGAATCAACTGTAATTGAACTTAGAGTGGCATAATAAGATTATATAATGGTTCATTCTGTATATCGTGCATTTTATACTCTCGTGAGAATATAATATATTCACTCGTTCGCTACGCTCACTTGTGAATATATCATATACTCACTCGAGTATAAACACGATATACAGAAAAAAACATTATATAACCTCATATTATACTCTGTTTACCACCAATGAAGGTGAGCAATACCTCTTGGGTATATCCCATATATATATACAGTCGTAATTGATGCATAATCATTGAAGGCAGATCCAGGAACCCCTTCTCGAAGGAGCCCTGTGTTCTTTTATGTGGTGCACTCATACATAGTCATACAATGCGGGACCTATTGCGTAAGAGGTACATGCACTACTGCTGAGCTATATGTGGGTGGGCTTTTTACAAATATGAACTGACATCTGCACAATATACATGTATATTAAATCCATTTTATCAAAAGAATTACAAGTACTGTTCAGTTTCAATAACATCATCTACAGGGTGTCCCAAAAGTATGCCCCCCCCCTAGGCAGACATATACCAGCGTCCTCATAGTATGTGTCATATATCATTTTAAAGCTTATCCAAAGTTACATTGATTCGCCAAGTATCGTGGTTCAACTCTCAAATGTGAAAAAATTACACGCATTTCACAATTTAGTGTTTGGTCAAAATTAAGTTCAATTTCACACCAAATCACTAGTCAGTGTGTCCTCTCGGGCCATCTTAACAGCAGCAATTCTTTTTGGATCGGATGGATATTGAGTTGGAAAAAGAGAACGGTGAGGGTAGAAACGCCAAGGAAACTCTTATAAAGTACCTTAACAGGTTTTAAGAGGGTAATAACATTCCACACCCCTATTTGAAGGGCTTTTGAGGTCGTATCTGAAAATAATTGCTGCTGTTAACATGGCCAAGGGGGGACACATTGACTAGTAATGTGTTGTAAAATTGAACTTTATTTTTACAAAACACTAACTTTTAAAATGACTGTAACTTTTTCCCATTTGGGAGTTAAACCATGATACTTGGCAAATCAATGCAACTTTGGGTAAGCTTTAAAATGATATAAGACACATACTATGAGGACACTGGAATATGTCTGCCTATGGGGGGCCCCATACTTTCGGGACACCCTGCATATTCTCATATTGACATTCTTTAATGGTTTTGTAGTCTTTATAGAGGGCTACATCACCCCCCCCCCCCCTGAAGAAAGAACAAAACTCTCACTTACACTTTAGGGGCTAGGGGCAGTACTAGTTGCTTGTTGTTTCAGATCTCAGCAATATATTTTAAATATAAAACATTTAAGTTCCAATGTTTTGCAGACCAAGTTACTTGACAAATTCCCAATAGAAGCAGGATTAGTGGATCCATCTCAACGCATGATCCCATTTCTACCAGGTCAGTACTCACAAGCACTAGAACATCCTTCCGTGCTAGATGGGCGGGGATTTTGATCTAAAGTTAAAGCCTCTAAGTATATGTAGGTCTGGTCAGAATATTGGGCAAGTTTTTAAAACATGATGAGGTCAGCATTTTCTCTGGGCAACATTCGGGCAGGGGCATTGCACTGGCAAGTGGGGGGGGGGGGGTTACAATTCTCTGAAGCCTTACTACTTGTTCATAGTTGCAATAAATGCGATTCTCTGTCATTTTATTTAATACTCTATTAAAATGAATGTATTACTCCCACTCCTGTAATAAATGATTGTGTATTTGTAGGTAAAATACTTTTTGGCAGAAGTCAAATAAGAAGAGTTGCAGAGGAAAGACAAAAAGAGATAGACGCTTACTGTCAGGTACAACACTACATATACAGGGTGTCCTACATTTATTGAGAATTTGTTTCAAACATATTGCTCTTTTTAACCTTAGAGCATACCATTCTGAACTTTGGTGTAAATTTAAATACTGCTGATATGATAATTTACAGTGTTGAAGTTGATAAAAATAATAACTCAAATTTGTTTAAAACAGTCGCTTTCTAGAAGGCCATGTCAAATCCCAGCACTTATTACTGTGTTGTAGCTCCATTGAAATTATTACTCATTAAAAACTTGCAAATGTCCTTAATACTCATTGTTGCAAACTCTTATATCCCCCACCCTTACACATTATCACACCCATTCATAAATGTTTCATGTCCACATTGTATTGTCTTCTAGGCCCTCATTAAACTGCCTACTAATATATCAGAATGTGACGATGTCCTCAATTTCTTCACAACAAAACCTGAGGATATCAACCCTGTGTTAAGAAAGTAAGATAACATCACATATGTCCATTGACTAGGATTTTTTTCATATACATGATTTTGTAATACATAATTATCCAACTGAACAAACTTGGGATATAGAGAAGCTGTCCATTCAAACAAGCATCAATTTTTTTTATGTGTCGGAACATGGGCATCTATTGAACGCCCATGGTCTGAATAATAACTCAAATAACTGTTTATTCATGATCCACATGGGTATAGAACTTATACCTGTGAAAGAATTTTCTATAGGGCATCTCAATTTGTTCCATGCTATAACTACAACCTGGTTATTTCTAACATGAAATTGGGAATGATTTGATAAAGTATGTTTTTGTTTTGTGAGATTTGCTATCCCGTAGTGTTGCTGAATAACAATTTTCTTGATTCTGTAAATATAATGTAAATTTATATATCCTTACATTGTATTACATAAATGTTAGGGTCAGTTTTACACTAAATCATTTCTACCCCCACTCCCACCTCAAACTTTACACTTTAATCCAAAGTGATGTCAGGGTTAAGGCCATGGTGCAAATGTTTATAATATACAGGTTGATACAAAAACTCAACCCATGAATAACTTTGATTCACATGCAGTGAGAGTTTTATGAAGGGAACAAGTTAATTTCAGTTTTTACTGTCATGAATGTTTAACTCATTTCAAAAATTCACTCACATTTCTGAACAACATGATGGGAGAGCATGCCTCGATGGAAAATAGAACTTTGAATCTCAAATTCTAGAAGATTCCCTCATTTAATATTTACAAAGTTCCTAGAAGTACAGGGTTGCATATTTTCATATCACCCTGTATTTTGATAGCACTATTTTAGTCTAAATACAGGTTACATGTGTTTATTGCATAAATATTGCCTAGAATGAAATATTGAATCAAACAAATCTTCAAAGCTTTACATCTTTCTATTCAGGCCATCGAAAAAGAAAGAAATTGAGCACATATCTGAGCCTTTGGCTCTTGATCAATACATTGCTGTTGCTAAGTATGACAGACAACAAAGCAACGAAGTTTCACTAAAAGCAGGAATGGCAGTGGAGGTGGTGGAGAGAAATGAAACTGGCTGGTGGTTTGTTGTTGCGGATGAGGAACAAGGATGGGCACCATGCTCATATCTTGAGAAGGAAGATGGGACAAAGGAAAATGGTGTCAAACTTCGACCAGGAAAAGGTATATTTAATGTGATGAAATAATGATGGAAATAGCGCATTGGTTTATTTTATGCAGGAGGTATGGAAAATATTAAATGGTCACAAAATATACTTACAATGTTAGATCTATGTATAAGGGATTCATGGGCAGCAGGCAACATGTGATTTTCTCTGAAACTGTAACATGTACAATTTATCATGCAGTGAGTAGGTGTTTCATCTTCGTCTCTTGTTAAAAAATCTGGAGCTTTCCATTAAAAATGGGGGGTATCTTGTTGAAAAATCAGGGGATTATATGAATAAGTTAGGATTTTTGAAAATCAGGGCTTTGACTTAAAAATAGGGGTAAGCAATAGTTGCTACATTATGATACCCCTAATGAATATTGGGATAACCAGAGATTATCTCTTATATGTGTCTTTTGTTGTGTTCTCTAGAAGAGAGGTATGTGTGCAACCATGCATACAGTCCCATGAATGATGATGAGATACAGCTTCATGTAGGCCTTGTATTGGAGGTCATAGAGAAAAACCCTGATGGATGGTGGAAAGCTAGGTAAGCTTCTTTTGCTAATTCTGAATTTAGTTTTCTCACTATATCATAGTATATTTTTCAATCTACCAGTAGGATATATTTCTCATAATCGTGGCATTATCTTGTTTATTCAGGAAGCCACTTGATAAATTTCGATAAAGTGTAGTGTTACAGCTTGTATACCACCGACTTGGTTGTATGATTTTGTTCGTATTTTGATAATGGTGTTATAGAACTTCAGTTTGTTTTTTCCAGACATGGGACCTCAAAAGGGTGGGTACCGGCAGCTTATTTAGACAAGGCAGATTCGCAACAGGCTAGAGTTATATCTATGATAGTGGATGGTCCTGTTGAGCACATACAGACACCTTTAGATGCTAGCTCTATGAAGCCTAAAGTACGACCAAAGACTACAACACCAAGGTATTTAACATGTAGATTTACTGTTTGTACTGCATATGAATAACTTACACAACAGAGTTCAATTGCACCAGAAGCTGTGATGATGAAGTGGGTCCTGGTGGTGTCAGTGCACTCATGCTGTTAACGCATCATATATATCTGGTGTAAAGTATAAAGATAGAATCAAAACCATGACATTGTATATCTAACCACAGGGACCTAATATCTCGGAACCCCATGATTTAATCGATGCTACAGTTAAAGCAGATATGAAATGGTATTTTTAACCTAAAGGAATCAATATAATTTTTTGATAGATGTATTTGGACATGTTTTCTCATCAGTAGTGTGAAAACTATTTCACTCTAACGATCGTTATAGCTGCTTAATAAGCAATATTCGAATTGGTTGTGACGTTATTGGCCCCCACGTGATCTCTCACTGGCCCCCACGTGGCCCATTTTGGTCCATTAGATCATGACGTCATAATTGTTTTGTTATTTGTTTACACAACAATCCTATGGTTGCCGTGACATTGTGATTACTATGGAACCAATAAACCAAAACTATATTTTGTATATGACGTTACTAATCACGTGGGGGCCAATTTGATTTATCGGTTAGTTTTATTTCGTTATCTATGACCGTTAGCAGTTATCTAACATTTATTTTATAATGGCTATCGCAAGAACTCTACGGTGGGCTTACAATGGAGAAAACCGCATTTTTGTAGCTGCAAGTTGAGAAAAGCTATTTCAGTTGTCCTTTAAATGTTTGAATGTGAGCCATTTCCCAATTCCCCTCTGAAGGAAACATATCACACTTTACAGTCCCAATTTTTGATATACAATAACTTATTAAATATAATTATATTTGAAAGAAAGAAATACTAATTCAATATAGTATATACAGTACAGTATATGATACATTAAATACCCCATACTTGAATATTTTTAGTTCAACCACCACACAAGGGAACATGGCTTTACATATAAGCCCCAAGCTGGGAAGACAACAGCTGCCCCCAAGGAAGAACTCTGTGAAAGCAGTCTCAGCTAAGGTAATATAAGTTAATGGCTTAACATGGAATAGAGTACAGTGAAACCTGCATATCCGAACACTTCTTTTAATCAATCTGAACACTTTTTCTCAATCTCAAATTTTATCTCCCATTGATTTGAGATGTGAACACCTGCTAATCTGAACACTTTTGGATAGTCCCAGTGGCTATGGATTAGACAGGTTTTACTGAACACGTATCAATGTGTATTTGTAGAGCAAATTACAATCTCTTGGAATTGAGGTTTTGTAATTGTATACTCCTGTGCAATCAGTTTCATGTCCTATTTGCTGTTGAAATAAGCCCTATAATTCTCTCATGCACATTTTAATGCTAGATTTTGAATGGACAAACACACTGAATTTGAATATTTTCACCTGTATAACCTCTTACCGTAATACTTATACCCTTTTAAAAGATTTCCCTTTATACATGACTTCTCTATCTGCCTTTAACAGAAATTGTACTTTTGTCTACCACTTAGTGTAAAGCCAAACCACCCAGACCCCAACCCCCAAATGTAGCTCCTCACACAAAGACCACTGCAGACTTCCAGTCTAATATACAAGATGGCATAAGTTTCCGTAAAGGCCAAAATGTAAAGGTAGGTTTACAGGTGAAGAATTGTTATAGTTCCAGATTTAGTATTTGTTATGTGACTTTGTCTAATAGCTGTTTTAGATAATTTGCATCTGATGAGTGTGTTATTATTTAGCAGATAATTTTTTAGTTTTATAATTTGTTGATTTGTCTGATTTCTTGTCCTACTTTTGGAAATGCCTGTAAATAGTGTTTTAGTTATGCACTGTAAAATATGCATAGTTCAATATTTATGTACATCTATTTTGTAGTTCCAGGGTTAGTCGTTGTATCAGGAATTATAGTCAATGTATTAATGATTCTCATTGTATCAGTGATTGCCATTGTATGAATGATAGTCATTGTATTGATAATAGTCATTGTATGAATGATAGTCATTGTATTGATGATAGGCATTTCATGAATGATAGTCATTGTATCAATGATAGTCATTGCATGAATGATAGTCATTGTATCAATGATAGTCATTATGTCAATGATAGTCATTGTATGAATGTTAATCATTTTACAATGAATATCATCAGTATGATGATAATCATTGTATTGATGATACTTGTAGTCTTTGCATAAATGACAGTCATTGTATCAATGATAGTCATTGTATTGATGATAGTCATTGCATGCATGATAGTCATTGTATCACACCAGTAGCACATTGTTAGTGAAAATTACATGTTTTATGGTGCATATGTTTTGTATGTATACATGTAGATAAATGATCCCTGTTTACCTAAACTCTTATCTACCATTAGTTAAGTGCTTAACCAGTTGACCTATGCCATATTAGGTGTTACAACGCAGCAGTAAAGGCTGGTGGTATGTTGACATAGAAGGAGAACAAGGATGGGCACCCACTCATTTCATAGAATGTCATGATAAACAGGTCTGAATTCTTGCACTGTATGCTTATTAAACTCACCACACACTTTTCATCCTCAGACATGAGTTATATGTAGCTTACTGTATGGAATTCTCAAAAAGCTTGCAAGGACCTTCCACACTCCCCCCCCTTCATTCCATAAATCTTGCAGGAGATAGTAAAGGAATGGGGAAACAGGTATGTGGAAGGTCTTGAAATTGTGATATGTATGTGCAGTGTTAATATACAGAAGTATTATTATAGAGCATTGAAATAATGTAAAAAATTCTATGAAGCAAAATAGATGGCAATGCTAGAAAATAAGCTTAAGGTAGGAATAGCTGAATGATTCTGGAACATTTTAATGTATGGTATCAGTATTTAACTCTATGTTAAAATGTTCCAATTACTAGTAATAACTGTGATTATTCTCTCTCCTAAGCTGACCTTATGCTTGTTAAATGTTGGAAATGATATAGAGAAGCAGCTAATTAGGAGGGAAAGTTACATTCCTTATGCCTCAGTCACATTTGATCTATGGCAACCGCACGGCCGCTGTAGCCTCCCAAAATGACAAATGTGCAGTATAAAATATAGCAATAAGCAGTATGATGTAGATTTTCTATATTGATTTATGGAAGCTACAGCCGTCGAATGCCCCCCATAGAGCAAATGTGACATCCCCTCCCAAATGTAACTGAAAATTAATCGCCTTTTCATCAAATTGAAAATCACTTCCCTATGAGTTCAGTGTATTCTTACAAAAAGAAATATTAGACTTTCATGGCCTCTCCAAATGTAATTTATTAATGGTGTAGACCGGGGGTGAACATTGGCATATTTTCCCCCTGGTCTTGTCCCTTAGAGATCTTCAACCCCAATTCACACTCTGAAATCATAGTACCACGTGGCTCAGTGTTAATGGTACTGTTTGAGTATGGTACCACACAGTACCATATTTTACGGTACTGGATGGTAACATAGCTGAAACAGGGCTATACAGTACTGTATAGTTGTAGAATTACATGTGCATCATTTGTTATTCTGTTTGATTAACTCAAATACATCAACCTGCTTGCTAGCTATTCTAACTTCATCTTCATCAGAAATGATCTTGTGATTTATGTTTTAGTGCACGTAGCATGTTATTGTATTCTGTGTATTAATTTATGGGGCCCAGTAATGGAATCGCTTACCTAATGAAGCTATTATTAAGGTCATACGTATAAGTGTATTATTATGTATATAACATGACAGCTAACTTGTTAACTGACATCACAAACAATATTCATTTTTAAAAATAGAATAGTGGCAAATGAAACAATTCATATGTGGTCTTCTCCCTGGACACAAATAATTATAGAGGTTTAATGTCTGTTCTTTTAAACTTCCAAAATAAAAGCGTAATCATAAAACAGTACAGTCTGCAAAAGCATGAAACCATTGGCTGAATGAGTCAGTCAGTCCAAGATGGTCAGTCTCAGTCCATATTTTTGAATTTAACATCCTAATTATATATACTTTCAGGACCAGAAATCAGTCCCAATACAAAGTGGTAGCAATCAGCCACAAACTACTGGTAGATCCACATCATCACAAGCAGTCTCAAAAAGCATCAACAAACTTCAGAAAACAGGCAATTCAAACCAAACAAGACGACAAAATACGGAGGCCAGTAAGCTTGCACCAGCATCTAAAATTGCAGCTGTGTTTGAACAGAGCAGGTCCAATGAAGCTAAAGGTGGGCATAAGCTGAAGAGAAAACCGACAAGACCTAGTCCACCAAAACTGAAGGGAACACCATTGGGTCCACCCAAACCACAAAGGGGAACAATTAACGTGCAATATGAAGACGATGATGACAGTGAATGGGATAGCGATGGTGACGTTAATGAATATGAAAATATAGATGATTCTTGGATTGACCAAGTGCCAAATGCAAAGGATACTCCTGTTGAGGATAGTATTCAAATTATGGCTAATGTGATACATGATTTTGAAGCTGCGAGTAAAACTGAGATTAGTGTAAAGAAGGGTTCGGTAGTTGAGGTGCTTGACATGAATAATCAACATTGGTGGTTAGTTAAAACCAACAATGAGGAAGGATGGGTGTCTAGGGATTATCTACTACTTAAGCAACTCAAAGGTACTCAAGCCAATAAAGATAATGATGATAATATCTACCAGAATGCCTCTGTGTTCAGGAAGCCTAGCTTGCCAGCAAAACCAAAACATGTCATTTCTAAAAAACTAGGAATTCGAACTGATGTTGCGATCAAAAATATTCCTATGAAATCTCCACGTTTGAAGAGTTCACCTTGGAGTGAATATAAATCAGGGAAGTCAGCTTCCATGGAACGTGGAGTTAAACTACGCAGTGCAAGTCACACATCAACTGATAGTTCTAAAGGTAACATGACAAAGCCAGAGACTGTTGGGAATGGGGTAGTGAATTTAAATAGATCAGCTCCTAAAACAAACAATTCTCATGTTAGTCAGAATTGCCAGCAGAATGAACTCAGTCAAATATTAAGAAAGATGGGAAGAAGTAAAATTGAATGAGGACTTTATATGAGGTCATTTATATTACACTGGAACAATGGCATTTGCTTTCATTTTGAGAGATATCATTTTTAATCAGAAGTCAATGTCAGTATCTGCATGTCAGTAAAAATCTTTATAAAGCTCCTTAGTAATTAGAGAGATTTCACAATTCACTTAAAGCGAGTTCATTATTCCCTTACAACCCATAACTTATGAAGCGTTTGATTACATCATCATATATTGCGCAGTTCTATACATCCATAAGTGTGATATTCTTATAAATCGTTGTATTATCCATTATATGGATTTTCTGTATTGCAAAGATGTCACTTTTTCATGCATTTGAAAGAATAAGTCATCAAGCTAGATCTGTCCTCATCAATGGATATGTTTGCATGTCATCTGTTAATTCAATTTAATCGTACTGCCTTATTTTGTATTTATCATATAATGTAGAGCATAGACCATGGAATCTAATACAAGTTGAGCAAAAAATGCAACCCACCTTCCACCTCATAATAAAATGTATTGACAAATATGCCTCAATGAGGTATTGTATGCAAGATTGGTTGCATATTTGCTCACCCTGTATGAGGACAAAAACAATACACTTCATATATTTTATACAATTTATTTATTCAGAAATTCAGCATTGATTCTATGTGATTATGTTTAGAAATGGATATCTATATTTTTATAAATTTTACATTGATTATTAATAATGTAAGAAAAGGCATTTATTCACATCCTTACTAATATTTCATATTTTATATGAACATTTACTTCACAATAATATTCTCAATTACATAAAATGTGTATTTTAATAGAATAGAAAAGCCTAGCATAATATTTGTTGAAAAACAAGCTGATGCTTGGCATGCCACAAACCAATTATCTTTGTAATTTATCAAGATGGAGAATTTGTTCTACAGTGTTATTCTAATACTCTATAAGCAGGATAAGGTAATATACATAATATTAAGCAACTTGACACTGGCTTAATCTACTCTGCAATTATTATAAGGAAACTATATCAAGTTATTCCTATAATTTATATTTGATGTTAGATTCACACTATTTAACATTCAGTTAGACCTGTTTACTTGAACTAGAACTTCCCAGAGTGCATTTATATCTCACGAATGTAAACACATTCTGTGTTGATTTGTATGAGCTGATGAATATATTATGGATTCATAACTGTATACTTCAATTGAGTGAAGAGGACACTGCCATGGGATATAAATGCTTATGAACTTTTAATAGCTTATGGACGTAAAAACTGTTTTGATATATTCTTGATGTCCTATTTGATTGATGAATATAACATAAATCTGAAAGAAAAATCTTTAATTTTTCAGCATGCAATTGAAATATCCTTGTTGTCCAAGTCAGAATTATATATTATACAGCATATTACAGTTCATAATATTCATTTTTTCAACTTTGTTAGGCGACAGTTGCCACAGGGACCATTCAGCACTGATACCCTTGGTTCACAAACTACAGTGTATTAAAAACTGATCACATATCAGATATTAAATAACTAAATGATATTCCTGTTTCATCTACATGTATTTTAGGATAAACCCTAAACAATTTAAAGCATCATTTTAAAGATTAATTTTCTGTTTTACAAACACATATCTGAAACATTTTCCTCTATATACAAGATATGAACTCTATGATTTTATGCTAGCTGTATCAATGCTAAAAATTGGTTCTTTATATTTTATCAAATAGCATTACATTGACAGCATTCAACAAACCTTTTACCCCCTACCCCAAACATGATTAATTCCAATTTGGTGCATACATTGATATATTGAGTTTTTCCCTCACATACAGTAAGACAGCACATAAGGGCAGCATCAGAATATACAGCGAGATTATAAAAGCTATCAAGAATTTAGTTTTGGCCACATTCAGTTCAAAGATTAAAAGAGGTTTTGCACATATAAGCATTTATACCATGATCAGAGCAATTCCGTTATATAATAGCAAGTGTTACACATTCGGGATAGGGATGATATCGGGAATGATAACGGGATTAGAGGGATGGTATCAGGGATGATATGTATATCAACCTGGATACATACTATACTAGTATTCCAAAATTTTACATTTTTCAAAAATTTTCATTTTTTGTCGAAAATTTTCATTGCTCTTGATCATGCTATAAGGTTGGTATTTACCTGCCGGATGATATGAGGAATATCCTCGGATGATATCAATATGGATATCATCCTTGTGATATTCCCCATATCAAATCCCTCCTGGTGAATGACTTCTTCGTATTTTATCTCAAGCTGATATACCTAGTCTTCTAGATACATATCACATCAGGTTATTAAAGAGTTTAGGGACCCCAAGCAATTTGGTGAACTTCTATGGTATTATCATTATCAGATCATCCAGACCTAGTTTTATTAATTCTTACTTAAATTGACTTGTAACTTGTACAAATCCACTCTTGTACTGTTTTCATACTTTGAAATAAAGTTATTCCAATTACAGTAAAAAATTATATATTGTCTCATATCATATACACATGATTAATTACAATAGCAGTTGTATTTTTATTATTCAACAGTATTAACTCTCCATAGTTGTATTGTATTTTCAAATTATTGTTTAAAACAGCAATAAAATATGCATACAGTATATTAATTAATTGTATCATTTTGTGAATTAATTGTATCATTTTGAGTTATTTCCGTGAAGTCTGCTTCAAGTCTGCATTAATCCTCAGAACAATTTTTATTTTGGATTTATATTACATGTTGAGTAAATGTATCCCTTTGAACAATATTTATTTTGGATTTGTATTACATGTTGAGTAAATGTATCCCTTTGAACAATGTTTATTTTGGATTTGTATTACATGTTGAGTAAATGTATCCCTTTGAACAATATTTATTTTTGGATCTACAAAACACATTGAGTAATTGTACATATTCCTTTGAACATTCATTTGAAATCATGTTGAGTAAAGTATTCCTTTGAAATCCCAGATTATAAAGAAAACACTGAGAAATTGCTAAAAAAGAAGATGTCTACTCTAGTTTGGAATATTTTATTTATAGCATTTCTATGTATGTTAACACAAGTCCTTTACAACAAAAACATCTCTTGAACAAATCCTCTCATTATGCACAAAGACAAATTGTTTTGTGTATTTTAAATATCTTTACAGAAATATTTACAAAAGCTGCAATGGAGGTTGAAAATGCTGTAGGGTCAATACTCAAAGTTATTCCTCTCTTGCAGTGTAAATACAAGGATTTCTCGGTACTGAAATAATTTTCCTCCTGTAGGGTTTGCACTCAAGGAATTCCCCTTTCTAATGTCAGCACCAAGACATTTTCCTCCTGTAATGTCTATTAGTACTCAATGAATTTCTTGTTGTAGAATTGGTAGTTGGTACTCTTTGAATTCACTGCCCATATTGTAAGTTGCACTGTCACAGAAGGTGAAGTTCCAATTAAACTCCCCTTCTTCTTTTGAATGTAACGCCAACATTGAAATTCCAATACTGTGTTCTTCCCCATCTACTCTCCAATCAAATTTTCTATCATATTTTCACAATGTCTGTTTATGTGTGACAACGTGAATGAATGATTGAGGAGATCAAGTAAAAGTGATGTTTGATCCTACTCCTCGTCATCATCATCCTCGTCATCATTACCATTAACATTGTTCACACTTTTAGATTGTTGTTGTTGATCATTAGAACATGTCAATAGTTGGAATAAATCTTTATCATTCAAGCAGCCTTTGACAAACTCCTCCTTGGATAGTTTGCCATCTCTGTTTAAGTCCATTTGGTGGAATATATGTTGGGTTCTCAAGGTCGGGCCCTGGTCAGCCTTTTTGGGGTCGTCCTCAACCATCAGGTAAATAGCCTACAATCAAAGTCCCATATTACAGAGGACAATGGAATTGTCGCCCTCAATCATTAGGTAAATAGCCTACAATCAAAGTCATACATTACAGAGGGCAATGGAATTGTCGCCCTCAATCATTAGGTAAATAGCCTACAATCAAAGTCATACATTACAGAGGGCAATGGGATTGTCGCCCTCAATCATTAGGTAAATGTCCTACAATCAAAGTCATACATTACAGAGGGCAATGGGATTGTCGCCCTCAATCATTAGGTAAATGGCCAACAATCAAAGTCATACATAACAGAGGGCAATGGAATTGTCGCCCTCAATCATTAGGTAAATGGCCTACAATCAAAGTCACATATATTACAGAGGGCAATGGGATTGTCGCCCTCAACCATCATGTAAATAGCTAACCAAACCCGTCTGGCCCAGTTATCTACTCTCGATATCGATCTACTAGTACGGGAGTAGATAACTGGGCCAGACGGGTTTGGTTAGTAAATAGCCTACAATCAAAGTCACATATTACAGAGGGCAATGGAATTGTCGCCCTCAATCATCAGATAAATAGCCAACAATCAAAGTCACACATTACAGAGGGCAATGGAATTGTCGCCCTCAATCATTAGGTACATAGCCAACAATCAAAGTCACACATTACAGAGGACAATGGAATTGTCGCCCTCAATCATTAGGTAAATAGCCTACAATCAAAGTCACACATTACAGAGGGCAATGGAATTGTCGCCCTGAATCATTAGGTAAATGGCCAACAATCAAAGTCATACATTACACAAAGCAATGGAATTGTCGCCCTCAATCATTAGGTAAATGGCCAACAATCAAAATCATACATTAAGGAAACACATTACAGAGGGCAATGGAATTGTCGCCCTCAATCATCAGATAAATAGCCTACAATCAAAGTCACACATTACAGAGGGCAATGGAATTGTCGCCCTCAATCATTAGGTTAATAGCCTACAATCAAAGTCACACATTACAGAGGGCAATGGAATTGTCGCCCTCAATCATTAGGTAAATAGCCTACAATCAAAGTCACACATTACAGAGGGCAATGGAATTGTCGCCCTCAATCATTAGGTAAATAGCCTACAATCAAAGTCACACATTACAGAGTGCAATGGAATTGTCGTCCTCAACCATTCGGTAAATAGCCTACAATCAAAGTCACATATTACAGAGTGCAATGGAATTGTCGTCCTCAACCATTCGGTAAATAGCCTACAATCAAAGTCACATATTACAGAGACCAATAGAGTTATCATCCTCAATCATTAGGTAATAATCATTAATGATAATAGCCTACAATCAAAGTCCTACGTTACAGAGACCAATGATATTGTCATCCTCCACTATCGGGTAAAAATCATAACTGTTACATGGAAGAGATTGGTGAAATTTTGTAGTTCCAATTTTGCTTGAGGTATTTAGGTTAGTTAAATCATTTGTAAGTTATTAAGAAATATAGTAAGTAAACTAATGTGTAATTTTGCAGCAAATAATAAAGGGCAATTAAAAAAAAATTTAATTCACTAGTACGTATGTACGATGTATAGACCCATTGATGAACATATCGGATAAGTGAAAATAATTTAGGAATAGAATATCGAAAATTGATAAACCTGTCAGTTATGAATATACCGGACTGTATTTTAAATCATGGGCAACAGTATGGGTGGATAGTTTCGTAGATGTAGATAATGTATATACATTAACTACAGTAGATAAGCAGGATAAAGATATCAAATTTTTACAATTTCCAAAAATGTCTCCAATTATTTTTATGTGATCATACACGCCTTTCCTAATATAGTGATTTTATCCCAAAGCAGGTTGTAATGTCGATTACTTCAAAATAATTAAGGCACCAATAACAGTAGCACAGCGTGAAATGTGTCAGACTACAAAAACATTGTGCCAATATCAGATGTTTATATCACGTAGTTTCGATTTTGCCATTTTATTACCTTTACCCTTGAGTTGTATTTGAAAGTACTTCATTTTCCCAAATGCTACATATTTTATCCTGATATTCACTTTGTGTCAAGTTCTTTGGAATATTGGGAAACGTCCACTTATTGCATTGTTTAATTATAAATGTCACTGGCGGATTAGGGGGGGGGGGGGGCTGGGGGCCCGCCCCCCCCCCCCCCTTGGGTGGGCCCAGAAAAAAAAAATTGGACCCAAAAAATTTTTTGGGCCAAACAAGGCCTTCAGGCCCCAAAAAGTCGGCCTTTTGGTCATTACTGGGGCTTTTAAGGCCTTATTTTTTAATTTCAGGCCAAATTTTGAAGAAAATGGGCCTCAAAATTTCAAAATTTGGGGCCCACTTTTGGATTTTAAAATTTTTTTCCGGACGTTTTTTTCTCTGACCTGAAATTTGGGCCCCCCCCTTGTTGGTTCCTGGATCCGCCCCTGAATGTGATTCTATAAAAAACATTGTCACAGTATTGCAGACAAATAATATAATAGCACATTTATTGGAACTTGCCTAAAATCAATTTCTTCGATGGAACGAGTAGCTCCCATGGAGTTAAAATCATGCCACGATATTAATTTCATTCAATTAATAAATGTAATCATACAATCGTTATTCAATCATTAATACCCTTATTTCACCTTATTAATGTGACAGAAGTGGGGTCTTGTAATACATAACTGTGAGTACACAGCCTCGTTTCTAGTCACGGTCAGACACTTACTTTGATAATTTCACACATCTCGTCCTCTTCTATCATGCCATTGCGGTCAATATCATAGAGCTTAAAAGCCAAGTCTAGCTTCTGTTCTGGGTTACCTGATTGGGTTATGCTGATTGCCTAAAGTAGAAAAAGAAAATGTTGTGAATCATAAAATCAATTTTTAGGTCGAGTATCTGGCATGGTTTGGTTTGGAAAGTCATTTGCTGATTGGTGATTTCTGCCAAGTGATTTATACATGAAAAATTCAACCATCAATTTATCACTTGACTCTTACCATGTATGTGGTTTATCAACTAAGGATATTCCAATCTTCCTTGAAAAAAGGACGAATGAATTTTCTGCTTTTTGATGAAACCAATGGACCGATAAATACTTCAAAGACAGGGTCGCATACCCAAGGAGAATACAATGCTAACGAATTCTGACCTAAAATCCTCATTTTTGTTACTACTCACGCAGAGCTTTGTCTGGAACAAGACATGGTAAACGAAGATGAACAATAACTGTTGCTGTATTGTATACGAGAGTAGAACCTACTGATATATGTCTCTCTTGTGACCTTTATTACACAGACATTAATTGTTTTAGTACCCACCTCCGTTATAAAAGGATATATTTATTGATTCTAGTCTAGAACCCGAGGCAAGGACATTCAGTAGTAAAATATATCAAAATAGCGTTTCTTATTATGTGAGTCATTCGCCCATCTTTTTCATCCCTATTTTTGCGTAAGTATGTGCTAATCATACATTGCATAAACTACACACGTGTAAATATTCCGGGTCTCAGTCTAGCTGTATATCTTTGAAGCAACAAGCATATTTTCAAAATTTATCAGTTCGTTTGTTATGTCCCCTGTGAGACTAATGTACAAATTGTGTTTGTTGTACTAATCCTATTATTCTAAGATAAATTATGCATAATCCAGCAGGACAGTATACATAATGATAAAAATACCCTTGTCCCAGATCTGATGATTTAAATTTACAGACATGATATACAGGGTGTCCATAAGTCTCTTTACAATTACAATTACAAAGTCTTGTAAAGAGACTTTATGGACACTCTGTATATCAATATAACCAAAATAATGCCCTTCTATAAAGTCTCTCTCAATAAATTCACTTATTATCATCCACTGCTTGTGACACGCTTTTTATAAAAATTTCCACTAATAAATTAAAAAAACATATAATCTACAACAAATGTCTCTGCTTAGTTTTCTTATTTATTTGGTATGCAGAATGACGTTGCATAATCATTGTGTTATGCTGAAAAACACCCTTAAACGGTTTATCATCAATCTCTTGGGATCAACAAATATAGTAGTTGACAAAAATAAAATGATGACATGTATTTGTGTTATTGTTCCCATGGTTATGATACTGAATGAGATGCGTTGAAAAGCCTTTGAGTAAATCTTGCGTCATTCAGTAATATAATCAGAATTTCAGCTGACACTTTATTTCAACAACACCCTTTCGCATTCTTGACATAGCTTCTTAAAAGATAGGTTTATCTTTTTAACTAACCTCTGTGGTCAGGGTATAATCAATGAATAAAAGGTGGATGATGCCAAATGTGGCAATGGGTTTTCTTATAGATCATTCTCCTTGAATTTTCCTAATTTTCAGAGACTGATTATCTGCCTTATTCTTGAAAACACCATTAGCTTTTTGATAACTTGTCACTGTGAATGTACAGTGGGTTGCCAGTAATCAACAATGTCAATTTCCTTTTCTAATGCGAATTTGTAAAATTGTCATATTATCCATCTTATTTTTGTTTTAAGTTCAGCCTGGTGATTGATTCATCTATCACTTTGACATCATTGTACAGAAATAGGACCAACTTGTTATAATTTGGTTCATTTATTTGTCTAGAATTTCCCTAGAGGAAATCAATCCCCAAGACGTCGTTCAAGGTAATACATAGCATGTTAAGATAATCTCCAATTATTGAGATAGCTTCTGTGATTATGTAATAATGTCTATTGTAGAAGCGAAAAGGATCATCTTTCTTGAATTCACAGTCCTTTGTGTTAAGGTCGTTACCCTTTGTGAATAGTATGACTTCACATGCATTAACTCTAAGGGAAAGCGGCATGTACATCTCGAATATTAAAGTGTTCCAAATGCAGGTACCCTGCGCACAGAGTCTAGTTATAAACTACCCTCGACAAGACGAAGCTCCCTTTTGAGAAGCAAAGTCGAACGAATGCAAAGGGTAAAATGCAGGGTAATACTAGTTATGTTTTGTTTTTCAAATGTTACACATTTTATGCTTTCTCCATGGATGATGATGTCTTCATTACCCAGGTGGTACTCTTTCTATTTTAATTTTTTCATTGCCGCTGTAAGTCTATTTGAAAACCAGATTTAAATACTTTAAATATTTCAAATTGCAAACACTTTTTTGTGTTGGTTTATCTTGGTGCTGTTATCAAATGAGAATTCTAGTTTTGCATTATCTATATTGTTTTGACTGATTACTGTTGACTTTTAGTGCTTTTCACAATAAATGTTCGCTTGAGGCTCACTACATTAACCTTTCTATTTAGAGTATATTATAAAATATTTATCATAGAACCCCACAGACCCATATCCTCAGACGTCTCATATCATCACATCCGATCACGTATCCGAATTCTCGGGAAATAATCAATATGCATTATATCAATTGTATCTGTTTTATGACTTGATCATTTTAGATGGTATCCCTCTAGTTCCACCCTAGAGACATTCTTAACGTTATATTCCATATTTATTTTGTCAAATAAGCAATATAAAAGACCCACGAGGATATTCTGAAGCATAGTAATAACATTAATGATCTAGAGAATAGCTTAAAATGTGGTAAAATTATTGTAGTTACATTTCAAATATATTGCATTTTCTGTACAAGGTTTACTTACAAATATTGTTGTTGTGGATAATAGATATTATGGACTTTTCTCTAATGAGTAAGTTTTGTGCAATAAAGAATATTTATTGCACCCACGGGAGGACTTTATCCAGAAATCCTCAGGATGCAGATAAATGTGAAAGAAATCCCTTTGTTCAATAATAGATGGTAAATCAATGATCAACACACCGTTCGTCTATAAGGGCTCTATTTTCTCTATGTAAAAAGTCATAAAGCATCGATACATCTCTCTTTAATTAATTTATAGTACAGTTGATATGACAATGTAATACCCCTTGGAGGATTAATACGGTTTTGCATCGTCTTGATTAAAACCAATGATCAATCATGTGTCTCAATATTCGCAATGACTGCTTCTTTGCCCATTTCATAACCTGCCAAGGTCCCAACTGGGACTGTATTGAAAGGCTCTGTTTCCAATCAGATCCCGCTCTGGATTTTCCAAATACTTCTTTGTTGTTCCGAGACAACATTGTTATTTAAGGTGAATCCCATTTGCTATCAACTCTTAGCAATTTGAGACGTTTGCATTTTCGAATAAAAACATCCAAGTTCTTGTGCAAACTTATCTATTAACTTTTGTCCGTTCGTTCAAACGATGCAACTGATTTCTGTACTTCCGTAATGCGTTCCCATTGGTTAGTGAATACTATATTTAGTATGTCATATTCCGCAGATGAATATGTCATATTCCGCAGATGAATATGCCATATTTAGCTTCGGAAAACGTGTTTACCGCATTACACCAAGTTCGGTTGCTACTCTGTGGATCGGTGTGATTTGAACTTCTGGAAGTGAGTATCAGGGCATTCTGATACTCATCACATCTTTTTGTCTACAACCAGAAATAGTGTGAAGCTAATAGAAGGCCATGATTTCTCATAATGGGTCAGGGTGATTCGAGTGCATAATCACCCGGCCAACAATGAGAGTCAAGACAATTGAAATGACATAGAGGTGACATAAGCCGAAAGTAAATTTTCTCCTCTGTCGTCTCTGTATCAATTCCTATTATTGACATAATGTTTCTTATGCAAATCTTCTTATTGTTTTATGTTTTTGACGTGTTAGTCTAAATTCTACAATACAAATATGCCAACTCTTTAATAATACTTAACCAGTTGCTATTTTCTCATGTTGCATTTTTGTAGATTTACAATTCATCTCTTATTGAAATATCCCCTCCATATATATTCAACGAACCATGGATACGTAATAATTGAAAACATACGGATTTTGCAATAATCTGATCATATAATTTAGAGATGATTTCACACTTGAAGTTGATTGAGTTCATGGTTAACACTGAAAACGGCTTAAGTGTGAAACAAATTTTGTTAAAAATTCAAAAAAGCATTAAAATTATTTTTTCAAATGGACATGTATTATGTATCTGTATACATTTATACACACGTCACCGAAAACATTGAAGTAAACTCCAAGGAACAATAGGTGGAATTTCAAATTGAAATTAGGGGCCGTCTCAAACGTGACGATTTTCACATTTCAAGTCCGTGATTAATATGCCAAGATATTTACATTAGAATGCAACATTGTCAAAAAACCAAGGACTTTCCTCATGCTACTCTACTGTCCTTTAGAATCATAAATGAATTTGGACTACAAGTATTTTCCTTTTGATGTACATCACTTGTCGACATGAGACATCTGAATCCATCATTTTTCTCGATTTTTTCATACGTTGTGTTTTTAATTTGAGTAAAATTGAAAGGGGTCGAAACTATTGGAACATAAATTGATTCGGCCATGAAAAATGATGCTTTAGACGAATAGAAAATGATAAAAAAAATATTAGGGGAGCATTGATCATTAGGCTGGATCAACATTTTTCCGCGTGTCGTTTTTCACAAGAAAATTGGAAACAAATGACAATGAGTTATATGTTAACTAAAGAGAAGTTTTAATTCACGAATGGGCATTTTTAATGACTAAAGCTAGCTGAATTGAGAAACAAGTTTGTATTTGTGTCTTATATTTTCACCTTTATGTTTAATTTTCCTTCAAAACTCGACATAAAGCATGAATAGCAGAATCGTGTCGTGTTTCACTATCTCCAAGGAAAAAGCAGTTACGTACATGTATAAGCTTACATGTTACATACAGTGTATGTGGACTCATATGCAATCATAGTTTATATCATGTATGTACTGACACATATTTTCTATTTTCAA